GGTAGATCCACGGCTCTGATTTATCAGCATCATTAGAAAGGTAAGGCGTGGCATCAAATTCCATAGGAAATGCATGCCGATCATTGATTTTCATCATAGCATCGCGGTTGATGTCATATTCAAATCGTTTCAAGTGAAGATGCAAGACGGGCGGGAAACTTTCGAAGATAACACCCTTCTTCGCATCTTGCAAACCGTACGGTGGCCCAGCGTCGTACTTGTTCTCGCCCTCGAGCGTTTCCACTTGAATGTAATCCTTGAAGCTGTCGTCCAAAGTCTTGTTGTTCCTTACATTGAGTTGAATATCCCAGAAGTCTTCCACACGCGAGGATTCATAATCGACATTGATGCAGGAAATGTAAGTCTTCGTCTTTCCTACAAATAACTCCGGCAATGCCTTCTCCGCTGGCGTGCCCTTCATTCTCTCCTCGAGTCTCTCCATCAGCTTACGCGACAATTCCTGAACATCCTGTTGTTCAAAAATCTGTCTCGACTCCCAGCCAAACGAAGCAGTAAGCTCAGCTGTTGAAACAGGGTTTTCACTCGTTTGGAGATTATAGAACAACCTCTGCAATGTCCAAGCACTGTTATCCCGTGAGGCTTCCGCCTCGGTTGGAATTTGATATGTGGCCTACGAGAAAGTCAATTGATAAACACTCAATATGCGTAAAGTACTCGGTCACGTACCTTTCGGAATGCATTGGTGAAGTATAGCGACTGTAGAAGTGAGTTGAGGTAACAGGTAGCACCCTGGTTTTTTAATCCAACCATGCCAGTTTCTTTCTTCGAGTCATAGCTAAAAGGGATTAGTACAATTCTCGACAAAAGCTCTTCTGTATAACATACTTTTGGAAGCTGTGCCACAAGACACCCGTTGGATCCTTCACGACACGGACGTAAGCTGTAACCATAGCTTCATCATTTTGCACAAGAGATACTTCACGACCTTCCCATGGTACGTTGAACAGCCTTCGTAGTTCACAAAATCGGGTAAATCCCCAGTCTCCCTCATCCACGTTGAACCGATGAGTCGCGACTAATTAGGATCAGCAAGTAGCATATATCACACTTAGATGTCATGCGTACCATGAGAGATTTTGATGGATGGATCGTTCACGTTCCACAGGACAAGTCCGAACTGCACACAAGCGTACCAGTTTTCAGGTGGCTCATTTTCCCAAGCATGTTCCAAGTAAAACGATGCGTGCTCAACGTGGTTTCCATATGGGAAGAAGAGAATCCGCCTATGCGTCATTATTAAAATCATACGATTGAGCGGCAAATCGCAACCAGATTGTGCACCCACCATGGGAATCCTGCGCATTGGAATGTCGGGCCATGTTCCTTCTTCTTCAACTTGCGCCAGTCTTGAATATGCCATGTATGATACGCCTCATCTTCGGTTTCAAGTTCGGGGTCTTTAGGAAGGATTCGTGCCATCATCGCCGCATCTATACCGGAAGCTTGCGTTAGAAGACGTCCCAAACAGGCGAGGAAATGCTGTCATCAGATATTCTCGAATGGAACCTCTGACCCCGCGGCGGGGGTACGCATAACCTTTCATGGCCAACTTAAAGGGAGCAGATTCAATAGATAAATATCATATAGAACTAGTCCTTACAATCGTCTGCAGAAGGCTCCGGCTCCGGCTCCTCCGATCCGGACCGGGAGACAACAACATCGTCTGTCCTGTCATTGTGATACTGCTCATATTCGTCCACGAGCATTTCATTATCCGGGACCTAAGGAGGGGACCTCACAATCAGTTGGATATTTCTAGTATTGAAGTGAGGCGAAAGCATTTTCGTTGCTCTTCGGTGCAAAGGAAGGCGGCGATGAAGCGTGGAGGACAAAGACTTACGTTATCCATAGAGGGAAAAAATAGTGCGCCCACGCACTGAAATCTAGAGACGCACTCGTTTCGGTACTAGGTTCGAAATGTGGACAAATGTACAGAAAAGAGTGAAGGGGGCAAGAAAAGAAAATTAGAGAGTGAGGTCAAACTGACAGCGTGTAGGGACGCCGAGTGGTCAGAGACACAAGATGGTTCAGAAAGAGGTTCCAGTCCGAAGGAGTTGAAGCTAAGGTAGTGGCGGAGTGCGCAGAACCCAATAATAACGGCTATGCCTCGGCGGGACAATATTATTAAGATTCTTTCAGTTAACTAACTACTGCATGAACAGCGAAAACGAATTCGCAGGCTAAATCTTCGACATCCAACACTGAAAGTACTCATATGTACACAGTATGTACCTTTTGCAATCTATATTGAATGAATAATTACTGGAAAAATCTTCACATGATTTTTAACATTAAACGTAGAGCCTCAGGCAGCAGACAGGATGCCTGTTCAATTGAGTTGCTATTCTCATGCCCGCCTTTAATACCCATATTTTCTGGATATGGTATGGTAATTGCAGACAATGAGTGAATACCTTGAACAAACGATCGCCCACAATGATATCATCTCACTTCTGACTCGATTCTGCCATTTGATCGAGTTCGAACTAACCAAGAACTGGATGTGAAGAAGGTACCGTACGGCAAATTGAATAAAAACTGCATCATTCAATGTAGTCCAATTACCAATGTAGAGCGGAAATTTCCCCTTTCTCGTAAACATGAGCGGGAAAAAGCTCATTGTACTGTTTGTACAACGTTATTCGAGGTATAATATACATGTCACATTTATATAGATAGACGGGCAAGCTCCAGTTTAATTTCATATCAGGCATTTTTTACCAACCACCTATCCAACATGACCCAGACACCATAATAGTGTTCTAGAAAGATATCAATAGTAATTGAGTTCTACTAGAAAATTTCGAGTTAGATTCTGGATATTCATATCAGATGCCCAGACGGAAGACCGCGTGAACCTCCATGAGAGAGTTTAAGAAAGGGATGTCACATGCCAGGACTGAAAGCTCTCACCGCCTGCGGAAGGCTGTTTCGATTGCGCCCGCATCAAGTCATGAAATACAACCACCATATCATGCCACTGGTAAAGACACCACATTCCACAACCCGGTGAGCCATGTATGGAAAAGTTTATCCAGACCTGACTTTGGGTGAACTTTGCTGGTCGGAGACCATATCGTCGTGTCGCAGCTCTTACAATCCATGAGACGTCTTTGATCCAGTCCACAGTGAAGCAATATGCTGCGGAGTCATCCAGCTGGGCGCTGGCATGCCTTCCGACAAGCGTGTGCTCCAAAACTTCGCCCTTATTCGGGCCTCCATCAGCTTCAACCCCATAATCCACCACCATGGAGACCTGTCTCCGCTTTGGATGAGTATAGACTTCAGATACATATATTCTAAGTACCACATGCAGCTGACGCGATTTCTTCTAGGTGGGTCGAACGCGACATCCGGCCTATAAGTTTACGGCAATTGACCTTTTTTGGGCGGACTTTGACAGAATCTCGACTTATTAGTTCGGCTAACTATGTGCGAACGGAGCTTCCGACTAGGTTAGTGCGCTTTTCATGGTTACTTGCGCACCCTTCTAACAGGTTTGGTGTCGTTCGGCTTATAGGCTTGCCCATCGCCTTCGAGATATTCAAAGGCTGCCGTACGTTGTTGTAGCTAATCCTCATCTTTCTCTCGTATATGAGCTCTACTATAAAGCCTTTGAACGATTTCGAACGATCCCGGAGATTAAGACACTCGATGACAACGATAAGTTTTGTGATATCCTACGAAAGACTCTGAAGGAACACCTTGTGGTGATTCCGAGATTGGCAATGGGTGTTTTGGAGTGCCGTGCTCTGCTACCGGCGGACGTGCTGGATCAGTTTATGAACACTTTGCTTCGCGCGGTATGCTAGTTTCCGGTAGTTGTGCGGCATGTCTCCGAAGTGGCTAACTGTTGCCCAATAGAGAATCTCCCGCCGAGTCATAGCGGAGCAACACCTGGCGCTAACGGAAACTTTCAACTCCCCGTGGCACTTTCCTGGCTCCCAAGATCGCACGGATGTTAATGCGGACTACGTTGGGGAAGTCTTCCTGAAGTGCAACGCAAAGGAGGTTATTGAGCGCTGTGGCAAACTTGCGCAAGATATGATGCGACAGGCATCAGGGACCGATAAAATCCCGGGAATATCCGTGCAGGGGCACCTAGATGCTACGTTTCCCTACATGCTAAGCCACTTGGAATATATAATTGGGGAGCTGCTACGAAACTCAATTCAGGCTGTCAGTGAAAAATATAATGGCTTGCCTGAGAAGCCACCGCCCATTGAAGTACTCGTATGTGAAGCACCACAGCATGTTATCATGCGGATTTCTGACCAGGGAGGAGGCATACCTCGCGAGGTTCTACCGTACCTGTGGTCCTTCAACAAAGGTCCTCATAGTAAAGCACGGCTTCAAAATCTGGAGCAGGTTCCGGCAATGGCAGCCACGATGCAGGAGCTGACAGTGCCGAAGGAACGGAAACGGGCCGACAAGGAAACATTCCGAGAGAGCTCGCTTGACACACTTACCTCACGGCCGCCAAACCTCCGCCTAGGCATGGGACTTCCTATGAGCCGGGTGTATGCGGAATATTGGGCAGGCAGCCTTGAATTGCACAGCTTGGAAGGATATGGCGTGGATGCATTCCTGCAGATATCCAAGCTTGGCAACAAGAACGAGCAAGTCACCACGAGGGCATCGATTGATGCAGTGTGATGAAGTACATGGCTTTTTTTGGACATTTTTTTTTCTGTTATATACATGATACGTATACCTATAACCATAGCTATAAAATAGAGAAATATTAAAAAGACTAGACAACTTGTTAGCCAAGGACTTAAAATTAGCCACAGACCCACTTCCCCAGGTTTCGCGCCGTAACCAATCCTGAATAGGAAACGTAGGGAATCCATCCGGCTCCTACCGGGAATGACGTCATCCTGAATGTACATCTGCGCCGTTTCCCAATCAAAAGAAATTGCAGCGCCGTAAGGAGAAAAAGAGGTTGCCTAGGGACGTGTTAGTAAGAAGAATGCAAACAAAAATCCAGAAACTCAGCCCTATCCGTTTGCTCTCTTCCAAAAGAGGATCCTGCCCTGGTGTGACGTGACGTTGATCTTCCCACCCATTGCCATAATACATAAGTATATAATCAACATGAAGCGCCTCAATTCCCCCCAAGACGACAACGTCCCAATCTACATATTCGGTCTCCTCTTCACCGTTCTCATTCTCAGTTTCCTCGGCACGTATCTTGACACCAGCAAATCACGGCTCGTGAAGTCAACATCCGAAACTCAGTAACGATCAGACGCCATTTGGGTCAATCAAAATGGCTGGAACCTGTTCGATGCTTTGCCTGATCCTCATCACACTCTTCGGTAAGTTTGTCCGTCTAGACAATTCCCATTTACCCCTGTCCAATGGCCTCAGGCCCTTGTTCGTATTCGTTTCCGTGTACATATCTAGCGCACTCCAATTTCAAGTTTTCAACAGCAGAAATAGTAATGAACCCTTTACTGACGTGGTGCTACTAGTTCCTCCGCTTGGCGTTTTCCTCATCTCTGGCTGCAGCGCTGATTTCTTCATTAATATTCTGCTGACGATTCTTGGGTACGTTGCCCAGTTAATCCAACCCTTGGTCCGGATGACTAGCATGATTATCTCACTATTTATACACACGTGCTCACTCGAAAAATACTTTCCAATTCTATTCCAATAACAAAACTAACGCAGAATAGGTATCTCCCTGGCCATATACACGCCTTCTATCTTGAATACGTATATTACCGTCAACGCGATGGGGCTACAGGACGCGCACCTGGTGTATACTCCGAGCGAATCCAGCGTGGTGGTCACCATGAAACAACCTATGGCACCATCCATAATTAGTCAGTTAAAGCTGCAGTTACGACTTACGAGGGATGCGGTATACTTGTTTTATTAAGCCCATACCTGATAACTCCGGTCTAATCATTCGTTCGTTATTGTTTGCGTAAAAAGCAGGCCCACTTTTCGGTTATATACCTATGATTGCGAGTGCTATTCCTACAATTGTACTTTGTCTTCTATTATTCGCAGTCTAAATTGCAATCCACCATTTAGTCCGCGAACCATGTCTTACACGTAGTAACCATTGAAACCAAAACATATGGATGATTGACTGGATCAACTAATACACAAGAAGAACAACCTAGACCTCCGCCTTCTTTGCCTGACCCTGGCCTTCCGCCGCCTTAGCAGTTGCCTTCGTCTTCAACGCCGGGAACTCAAATGGCTTGCTCCTCCCAGCATCACCACTAGTCCTCGGCACGGCTCCAGACCCAGGGCTCCACCACAGAGCTCCAACCCAAGGCTGCACGTTCCACCCAACAGAAAGCGTCACATTACTCCGCTCCGCCATCTTCCCCGTGATATCCGAGATTTGATACTTAGCCCGCTGGTTCCTCAGACGGAGAACACCAGGCGCAGCCTTATCCTTCTTAGTCGACTTCTTGGCGCTGGTGGTCCGTTTCGAAGAAGACTTGGACGGGAAGAAGCGCTCACGAAGAGTGTTGAAGGAGTACGGCGATTCCGGGGCCGAGATGATGGTATCCCAGATGATGGACTCAGATTGGGGGAGGAGGGTGGATTCCTTGTCGGAGGAGGAGTAGGAGGCGTAGACGTAGACGAAAAGTTGTTTTGTGTTCCAGTTGAAGAGGGAGGAGAGATCTAGATCGGGGTTAGTTAGTTGCTTGCTTAAGTAGAGATTTTGACTGATAGGGTCCAAAAGTACGTACCGGCGTCCAGATCGAAGCGCATTTGTGCGTATTCTTCTTTCTTGTTTGAATAGTAATGTGGGCGTCCTTTGATTCTGCGTGAACCTTGTTAGTAGATCTGCATAGACATAGGCACAGAGAATGGCACGTACACTTTGACATCCTTCAACGATACCGCTGCTTTCGCCTCATCGGTTGGATATAACAGGACAGACAACGCGGCAAAACCGGCGACGAACAAGGCCACGGTTGTAAAAAAGCCGAAGACGGCCTGCGCTCGGTTTAGAGCCGAGTGCATGATGGGCGATTTCTTTGTATCTTTGATGCAATTGACGGTACTATGACTGGAGATATGGGTTGACAGATTAATGCAGCAAGCCAAATAACCTCTGATGTTTTATGAAGTAAAAAGGAGGCGAACTCCCTGTGGAATAGCGTTGCGACAAGGGAGTTACGAGATGATGTTTGTTGAAGCCACATGGACCTTTTCGCGCAGGCGGTGAGTGGAGCACGAGGCTTATCGATAAGGGCCGTTTTGCTATCCATGGAGAAGGTAGTAGATATATAAAGAGTAACTAGCTATCATAGCTACCTTGGTTTTCCATTCTTTCTTTCCGCATATATTGTGACCTTTTAGCCTTAGGTCTCTGAGGGTTGAGCCGTCTGGGCAACAAGAAGCTCCTAATCCACGATCTTTACTTTGTTCCTCTCTGAACTATTCAGTACAACCCCACAGCACAACTAGATCGCGATATCAGACAGCTCCGGTGAAGTTACGCCCAAAGCAGTCACAATGGGGGACCACGTCCTCTTCTTCTACGGTAAGCCCTCTCAACTGATCCGATAAATATATCTCACATGTCACTCTCAACCATGCACTCCTCATACAGGTACACCATACCTAGTCCCCAAGTCTCCAACACTTTAAACCCCCAATCTACCCCACCAAACCATCCTAGCACGCAAGCAAACAAACCCAAGCTAACAACGTCCCAAAAGGAACCTTAATGGCGCCACAAATTCTCCACCGGGTAATCCACGGCTCACCGGACCCAGAGCCCTGGCAAAAAGCCCTCCTCACATTCAGACCAGCCATTCTGCACGGGTACCGACGGCATCGGGTGCGGGGAGCCGACTACCCAGGTATCGTGCCGGTCAAGCCAGCAAATACAGAGCCCGACGCGGATTCGAATGCTAACGGCATGGCAGCCGTGCTTGGGACCGTTGTTTCGGGATTGACGGACGGTGACATCCATCGATTAGATATCTTTGAGGGGACGGAGTATGAGAAGGGTAAGGTGAAGGTTAGGATTTTGCGGGAGTCGCTGGGTGGCAAGGATGGGGAGCTGGATGGGAAGGATACGGATAGACATTTGATGGATGTTCTGGATGCTGCAGGGGCGGAGTTTGCGGATGAAGGTGAGGAGGTAAAGGCTGTTACTTATGTTTATGTTGCTGGGGAAAGTAAGCTGGAGGATGGAGAGTGGGATTTCGAAGCGTTCAAGCGGGATAAAATGGCGTGGTGGGTTGGGGCAGATGAGAGTGAGTGGTAATCTCTTTAGATATTGAAAGATTTCCATAGAAGGCCAAATGTATTTTGTTCTTTAGATGGCCCAAATCAGCATAATCTCTCCCATCGAAAGCAGGTCTATAACATTTATGTACAATCTTTAAGCGCGCCAACAGCTGAAAACATCAAACATGCATGTGTCGATAGTGTGGGCGTCGCCGAGAAGTTCCATGAACGTAAATCCATATGTCCATAAGCAATACGTGGTATCTCGCGCACCCAGAGTAAGTTCTCCTGCTCATATGCCCGAACGCCTAATCGAGTGCCAGCTCCTATGGGGTTATCAGAAAAGAAAAAAAAAAGAAAGAAAAAAAAATATGATAAAATAAGAAAAAAAGACAGGTAAAAAAAGAGAGGAAGAGAAAAGGTTTCGTTCGACGCATTTGAACCATAGTAAAAGCTTGGTTTAACCGAATTTTATTTGGGTTTCTGCCTGGCAGAGCGCTGATTTTTTATGTTGCCTTGATAAGACGGTGGTATAATCTGCACTTCGACTGTGTGAAACTTCGCTGGCTGTCCAGCTTTTTTTGTTTCTTTATTTTCGACCGGACGTACTTCGTGATCCACCGGCTTCATTGCTGCTAGATTGCTTGGAGACCCGTCTTTCTCCTTGGGTATCTTCGCTGAATGAAAGCTAACTTCCTCAACTTCCTCAACTTCCTCCTGACTGTCAGGGACCTGGACCTCGATACCTGTGTCGTCAATTTTGTTTGATATATTTGGTGCGGTGATTTCCACACCTGGGCTCTTAAGACTGGGCGCTCTTGGATGTACACCATCCTTCTCCGTTTTGAGAGCTGGGTCACTGTTGGAAGCTGCAGGACTCGAATGGTTCGAGTCTGGTCTCCATTTATTAGGTGATAGTTTTTGCGGATTTATTTCAGAATTTGAGGAGCCCTTGACTTGCGGTTCCTGCAAGCCACTGCATTCTTCGTTTTGGGCGGATGTCGATGCAGAAGACCCCAGAAGGTAAGATATCGGATATCTATCGGCTAGGGTTCCCTTTCCACTTCCCTTTTTAGAGTCTAATTGCGCCTGCTCATCATAAAGATCGTCTAGAAAGTCACGTAGTCGACGTCGAAGAAGACCGGACCTTAGAAGCGGCCAATCGTCTTGCGTCTTCATTTCTCTCCTGAGAAGCTTCCTGATAAACAAGTCTGGATTCTGAACAAACTTCTCTATGTATGCTAGAAGGTATAGACCGCAGTCTGAATAGTTAGACTGCAGAGGGATCGCTCGAGCCCTCATGCCTCTGACTAGGCTTCTATCGATTTCAATGCCGCGTTTAGATTTGGCCTCTTCGTAAAGGTAATCGCGGAGATTACTGATGGTAGGCGAGCGAGACAGATCTAACGAGTCAAAAGTAATTATAGTTGCTTGACGCATATCAAACTTAGCACCTCCAGGCTTTCCGCCGGACTTTGGCTTCTTCGAGCTCTTATGGGGAGACGCTGCTAGCCCAGAAGTCGCCCCCAGGCTAGCCTTTTGGGTGGATTCTAGTTTAGCTGCAGGGCTAGAGAACTTGGCAGGAGAAAAGGCAAGGTTCTCTTCTTGCTCCGGCCACTCTGTAGGGGCCAAGTCTGGTACACAGTCCTTGGGTTCTTCTTTGTCTGACAAACTCATTGACTCAAATGACTGCCGGGCTGCTTCGTCTTTTGCAGGTTCCAAATTTTGACTGTTATTGACTTTCATTTCTTTATCCGCAGGTAGTTCCCCAATAGTTTCAGGCGTTTCGGGGATTCTGCGGCCTTCACCCTCTGGTGCAGCCGAACTGTCTTTATTATTTTCCGAGGGTTGCCGGTCCTCCGTGCTTTTGTCGGCAATACCAGGTAAATTTGGCAGGTTGCAAATGATAGCGACGTACCAGTGAGCGTTTTCATTGATAGGGACCACGATGTAATCGAATCCGAAAATGTCAACGGCGCGAGTCCACTTTTGGACACCTTCATAATTGATATTTCTTCTGCCCTTAACGTTTGTCAGGGTTGCGAAGAAGTACGAGTTGAAGAAATAGACTCTCTTCGCTACCTCCTTGTTAGTCCGCTCTAAGTGATCCTCGAGAAAACGCATGTAGAAGCCTATGAGATTATCATTCAAGAACTCGTTGTCACGAAGCCGTTCACGATCTTGCGCATCGACCTCAGCCTTTTTCTTGCCAAAGCGGGGATACACAAGCGGTCTAACATTTGATTAATACAGGGACGTACAGAGAAATGGAAGGGGGCATACTTGTGCCACTTTTTATCTGTCTCTTCAGCCTTTGGCTGAGAGCCATCATCCTCTGCCCCGTCATCACTGCGGCTCAGGTTAGTTGGAGGACCTTGTTCATAGCAAGGGGCCACTCACCAAACGACTGTTGTTGTTGTTGCTGGTGCCCGACGCGACATTGACCGTGTTGCTCGATTAGAGAATGATGATCCCGGAGAAAGTTTCTTCACAGGAACTTTGTCCGCTTCGTGTAGATTTGAGGGTAGTTCTCGTGTGCTTTCGGCGTTTAAGGTTCCCGGAGATCTTGTTGCTGAGGATTTGAAACATTCCACCGAAGCGGTATCCGAAGGTTGTATTTGTCCGGCAGTATTCTCATTATTGTCCTGCAAAGAGTCCGACAATTTCACCCTCTTAGCGATTTCCGGCGCCCTGTATAATATTGGCTTTTGCTTGTCTTCACTAAGGCGCTTGGTTTCATTCGCTTTCTTTTCCGCCAGATCTTCGGCCCGTTTGATGAATGAATCTTCTAACCAATCGCTGTGATAGTATAAGCTTCTATACAAGGAGTCAAGAACGTGTGATGGCAAATAAGACATACTCGCGCCTGTACTGCAGCCGAACATGTTGCCCGTGCAGCAATCTTTGTAACAGAGTACACAAAGTTTCCTGCTCCTCAGACGTGGAGAATTCCATGTCCATCTCGTTATCAAGCCCCCCCTTTCTGGAAAACTGTAGCCGAACTCTCCGACTAGGCGACTTTCCTTGTACGACCTTGTCAAGTCTCCCAAGAGAAGTTCTTTGACCGTTCCAAGGAAACGCTATACTAGTCTCTGTAGACTCTGTAGACTCTGTAGTCTCCACAGCTATTTCAAATGCTTCCCTTGACCGGTGTTCATACAACCCAAATCGAACGAAGGTGGCATAGAAGCATTTAACGGCTATTTTGACTGGTGTGGCGGGGGCCTTCCTCCGCTTGTCGGATTTCCGATGGTTTTGAGAGGAGCTCGTAAATACCGTAGGCTGTATATCAGATGGAGACGCTAGCCGACCGACTACACCTGGATGTTCTTTGACTTCAGACATAGCAATGGTGGTCTCCTTTTCACGGCTTCTATTCAGTGTGTTGGGTGCTGGCTGAACGGTTGCGCCTCCTTGAAGTTCATCAGGGCTGTCCCTCGAATTGTCTGGATGATTCTGATCCATCCCAACGGAAGGACTATAGAAATCCGGTCCCTCTTGAGGTTCCTTCGAGGGCCGCAAATGTGTCTCAACACTCTCGATGGCTTCATGCTTTCCCGCTCGATCTGGCCACGCCAATTTGGTTGATTCCGGTACCACTTTCGACACCATCGCACGCCTTTCTCTGGCTGCGTCTTCAGTAAATCGCTCTTCATAATATCCATCCGAGGATAGTTGAGAGTAATTTATAGAGCCTCGCTTGGGAGTTCGAGGGGGTTTAATGCCCCTCTCCACGTCACGATACTCGTCAACCCTATTGCGTTTAGAACTCGGATCCCAGAGCTTCGTTCTTTCTGAATGTTGACTGAGTGAAGGTGACAACCGTGTCGAGTGTCCAGCAAGATATGAGTTATCCGGGTGAATTTGCTCCATGATATCATCGTCGGGAATGCTTATGACCCCTCCGGAAGTGTCCTGGCTCTCTCGGCGCCGACGTTTCGACGGCCGCCCCTGATCGTCGTGTTCGGCATCATTTTCTGGATGGGTGACGATACCTCTAGCACTGCTTTGGTTGCTGCTGCTCCGATCTGCTCTCCCTCGCGCACGAACTGGTCCGCTTTCTCGAGCACGCCGTGAAAGTGTATTGCAAGGTTTGAACGGTTGAATATTCTATGGCCATATAGTTAGGAGAAAGACAAACAATAGCTCGGATTCCGATCGCATACCACTTTACTCTTGCGACCATACTTTTGCCCCACACTTCCAGGTACAATCTTTACCGCGGCAGGATCGGACCTGGAAAAGTAACCACCTGTAAGCCCCGCGTGCACTAGGCCACTAGAATTCGAGTTGATAATCGCAAGACGTACCGTATGGTATTACCAGGCAATAATCTCTCTTCGTCGTTTTGAGTAGGTAGGCGTTTCTGGCTCCGTGTCGATATATCCTCTCCAAGTCTACCACCCAATGTATCAGCATATTCGGAATCGCTTTTGCGCTGCGAGGTCATATTTACAGACGACGCATCCCTACAGCCGGTCGAGGAATGGTCTGGCGTAGTTGTAAACGTACAGATTCAGAACGTTGGAGTCTTTCGGCATAGCTATGGGTTGATTGAATCTAAAAAAAGCAAAGAAATTTAGCCCGTGCATAAGTATAGTCCCACCCCCGACGGAGTTCGATATGAATGTCCGAAGATGACTATGTAGATCACTCGTACTACGGAAATATATATAGAAAAGGCCACATACATCTGAGGAGTGAATAGGTGTGTCAACAGAAAACCCTACAAGGAGAGTTTCAGTTCTCTCACCGGACGTCTGTGTCCGTCGCACTTGGTCGGAGGTCGCATCAAATGGGAGATGGTTGACTGTGGTTGGTCGAGGTTTTGTGGGTTCGCTGGGGTTCCAGTTGGACAAGAATTCTGAAATCCTCCCAAACATATATTCACACCAGAGATCATTGCATCACTAGAACAGTTCAGCAGATATTCTCCTCCTGTGCGCACAAAGGGGAAACGTGATTAAAAAGAAAGAAAGCATCATGACGGAAGAAAAAAGGCGGTGGGAACTCTTTCTGCCCACTTTCTGTTCATGCGGGAATTTAATTTGCAGCCGTCAATGATGTAGAGTTTAGAAAAGTGACCAATAACTGTAACAAGGCAACGACAAACACTACAAACGGTTCGAGTCTCAGATTCCAGATCCTTAGGTATACTACTCTTACACTGTACACTTCACTCTGAGATCCAAAGGACTAAAACTTGAAATAGATACATTTCAGTCCGAATGTAAATCACCTGGCAATGATTGCGACGTACCAGGCGCCCCCTAAAAAAGTTCCCTTGAACTTGCATAGCATCCGGCGTAAAAAAGAACAATGACGGGAAATGAAATCAAGCCCAAGTCAAAACAGACGCAGTATTCGCCCCAATGCCCCGATCCCAGATCGTCCCAATTATTTTTTGTTTTCTTTACTATACAGGACCATAAACAGGCTCAGATAATCATGTCACGACGCCGCACCCTTTCCTTTATCCCCCGTAGAGTCATCATTAGCCGTAACTCTTCGTCGTTCTGCACCTAGATTGTGATGTTGGTTGTTGTTATTGTTGTGGTGATGATGGTGGTGGTGATGGTGGTGGCTGTTGTTTCCGGCGGCCTTTTCCTGACGAGCTTGATCAATGGCAGAGCGTTGAGCAATGCTGTCATCATGGCTCTTCCAGACAATGTTGGTGTCGATTGGGAAGCTCAGCAGACGCTTGATCGTTTCCCTGTGCTACGTTAGAAAATAGAACGACGAGGTTTCAAGACGAGCCCCGAAGCAGAAAGTCCAACAATAAAGCTTACCTGATCTTAATATTGCGCCCACCGTCAATCCTGGTCCACACACTCAACACATCTTCGCCACTCCGTACACTGAGGACAGCACCGCAAACTTCATCACCGGCCTCCGCGAACTGGTCACCAACCATAGCTAAGAGAAGATCCTCCCAGTACCGATCAGCAACACCCTTCTTCAATCTTACCACCCACTTCCCACCCTTCTTGTTGGCATCATCTTCCCATACGGGCCGAATACCCTTCTTAAAGATATGATAATCGGAAACAGTGGGTAGAAGAGAGGGACGCTTCAAGTGCGAATATATCGACCAGAAACTCTCGACGGAGGATATAGATGCAAGGGGGACGGTTGACTTTTCGTAATCGGAGTATTTAGGCGTGGGTGGACGGTACCAAATGACCCAGGTGGACTTCAGAGGGTGTTCTTTGATGGTAGAACTAGCGGCCTTCATCTTCGCGCCCTCCGCCGAGTCATGTTCCGTTAAAATGTCTCGTTTCTCGAGGGGCGTCTTGAGGTCGGAGCCGCCGGGAGTTTTGGGGGCACCGAAAGATGCAAAGGCGCCGGATCCCAGGCCGAATGCAGAGGAGGCGTTCGTCGACGGGGAGGACACACCGCCCGAGAGAGGAGATAGAGCGTTGAAGGGATTCGATCGACCGTGGGAGCTATCAGGACCAAAACGCTTTGTGCGGGGAATTTCGACTCGGGCACCGTCTTTACCCTCTGTTCCCGTCATAGACAGAGACAACTTAGAGGAGCTGGGGCGAGGTGGAACGGTCAGCGATGACCCGTCAAAGATTACCAATGTAGAAAACGAGAAAAGAACGAAGAACGTTTAGGGAAATTAAAAAAAAAAGTAAAACAAAAATAAAAGACCGATACATACTTGGATCGGCGAGTCCAAAGATTTGCGTTATCCATGATAGCTACCTAATGAGACGGCTCAGAAAACGAGCGGTCATCAGGCAATAAAACGGAGAAATTGGCGGCTTAACTGCGTAGGGTAAAAACCGAATGATACCGTATACCTGGAAAGCGCTAAAATGTTCAATAGAGACGAAAGGTAGATGGTGGCAATTCAAGAAAAAGAAGCGACAGAATAATAGCGACTAATATACTAATTAAAACAAGATGTTGAGCAAGAACAACGGAAGCTAAAGAAAGGGAGTAAAAATCGTGATCGTGATCGTGAACGTTAAGCAGAGGTGGGGGGGAAGAATGCGGATTGCAAGATTGAACTGGAAGAACTCAAGTCACTGTCCGCTCAATTGGAAGAAATGGATAATTATTGCCCTTCGCGTTTCGTCCATTTCTTCGAGCTCCGCTCTCGTCCAATCACCGTCGGGCCCCGCTCTCTGCCGCTCGCACCGTAGTTTTTCCTTCTTTTTTCCCTTTAAATTCCCTTCTTCCTTCCCTTTCTTTCCTTCTTCTTTACCATAAACCCAAGACCACCAACTCAAATCATCGCTAGCTGCAACGTTTTTTTTACTCCACTGCACTGGCGACTCCGATGAGTGTGTCGAGAACAACTATTCAAACCCGCTTCTAAAACCATCATCACGAGGGCTTCTCGGCTTCCATGATGCGGTGATGACCTGTATGACGGGACATACCTTTTTGATAATTAGAAAATGTCTTCTTTTATACCTTCCATATAAAAGCACAGTGGCAATCCAGCATTGCTATCGCTAGGTGATATAGTTGGTAGCCATCACACAACTGGTGCGTTTATTTCTTTCCTGCCAATCGTCGGCCGTCGTGCTCTTGAAACACTAGTTCATGAGGAAAAAATCATTCTCTGGTAAGCCGAGGTGCTCAACCGCTTTTCTACACTGCCTTTTTGGCTAAGCTGGTCGAGTGTGAGGTTTAAAAGGCAAAGTCTGATCTGTTGCACTTGGTTTCAATGGCACATGCCCTAGCCGTTCTGATATGCTTTGGTCATTGAATACTGACCAGCAAACAGTAGACTGAATGTATGACTCTTGTTTGGGTTCCTAATTTGTAGAGCATCAACAGATGACTGAAGATCTAAAAACCAGTGCATCTCGAATGGGAGAAATTCTATACATTCTCTACACTATAATAGCTCCTGTGGTAATAGCAAAAGCATTGGATATCTGGTGTCAGAACGCGTGACTATAATCCTTATCGTGGAAATTTCTTGAACGTGAAGTCCCCACACAAATCTTGCATCCCAGTGATGCGACGCATGTAGGCGTTTTTGACTTATTGTTCCGTGGGCTGCGCTGAAGATTGCGAGTCCTCAGCGTCTTGCTTGGCACGTTTCGTTTCTCTCTCGCTGGGGGGAGCTGAAGTACCAGCTTTCCGTTTCTCTTTGTCTTTTTGATACTCAGCGCGGCGAGCTTCCCTATCCTTCTCTTTGCGAAGGGCTTTGGATTCAAATTCATGCCAATCACCCTCAATGTTCTCCAGCCTAGTAATCTGTTAGATAGCACACCAAAAAAAAATAATAATATAACACCAGGACACTTACTCAATGGCTTGTTGAGGCCTAGGCTCCTCCGACGTAAAGTACGGGTGTGCAAGTATCTCTTCAGCAGTTGGCCGCGCAGTCGGGTCGTAACGGAATATTTGAGAAACCAAGTCCAGAGCTGCTGGGGTTAGGATTTGCCCATACACCTCCTCGAAGACCCTTCTCTTGCGCTCAATCGGCCGCATCAACTCAAACCAAGGCATCTCAACAATGTCCTGCCAGTCTGCTCGTGTCGGGGTTCCAAGGCAATTGTAGAGCTTCTCCATTTGGCTAATCTCGCCCCCCTCGCCAGGGAAAACGGCTTTCTTTGTGAACATCTCGACGTACACGCAAGCCGCACTCCAAACATCAACTGCCGGTCCGTACCTAGTTTCACCCAGAAGCAGTTCCGGCGGTCGGTACCATATAGTGATAACGCGATTTGTGTAATCAAGTTGTCGACTCTTTGAAAAGAATCTGGCCAAACCGAAGTCGGCGAATTTTAGTTGCCCACGGTTGCTGATAAGAATATTGGCGGCCTTGATGTCGCGATGCAGCACTCCACGATGGTGAAGGTAGCTCAATCCTTCGAACATCTGCTTTGCCAGGTCCTTTTTATGGGCTGCAGTAAGTGTGAAAGTCGGATGATTGATGAGGCCAGTAAGGTCATGGGAGAGATACTCAAACACCATAAAGCACTCATTCCTCTCTACCATGACTTCCAGCAAGCTCACAACATTGTCGTTGCGGAGATGTTGCAGCAACTTGATCTCGCGCACAGCCGTGACAGGAAACCCATCTTTTTCGCCCTCCATTCGTATCTTCTTCAATGCCACCTTCCTCTGGGTATACACGTGGATTGCCTTAAAGACCTTTCCATACGTGCCAGCTCCAATGACAGATTCATTTCCAGGTTTACGATAATAAACAGAGTCCGATTTAGCGAATTCTTCAGGGAGGGTGGGACGTGGTTTCGGTCGTGTCAGAATTTTAGGTTGTTTTTTGGGTTCCTGAGAGCGATCCCGGCGGCGTTCAGGACGGAAATCCTGTCGTCGGTCACCTCTTCTCCTATCATGGCGATGATCAAAGCGATGATCATCCCTCCTACCGTCGCGCCTATCCCTAGGATCACGGAACCCCCGGGGGTCCCGGAAATCGCGCCGGTCATTCCGCCCCCTGTCGCGATCCCTTTCACGATGTCGGTCTCTTTCTCTCTCGCGGTCGCGATCACGACGATCGAAGCGTGGTTCAGGCTTGAATTTGGGGGGCGGACCACCCGCCATCCTATTACGAGGAGGTTCGGCAACCCGGGGAGGTGGTTCTCGGGCTAGCATCCTTTGTGCTAGATCGGGAACGGGTTTCGGAGCAGGGGCTGGGGTTGTCTTCGCCTTGAAAGCAAAACTGATTTTGCCTCCCTTATTTGGGGTCGCCGAGGTATTAGGCTGTCCTATATTCGTAGGTAGCATTTTTTGGGCATCGTCGATCTCTGTCTCTGGCTTTCCCTCGCCTATCGGGCGATCCTGGCCACCAGGCCTGAAAGCGACATCACCCTGATCAGGACCCATAGGTGTCTGATTTTCTGAAGCTGTTGGAGGCGGAGGGGTTTGGGACGTGTGCCCATGTGATGTATGTGGGCTATGAGGCCCTCGATTCCGTGATCCGGGACCACTCCATTGAAAACTAGTAAAATTTCCCCGGCCACGCGGGGAGGGTGCATTGCCGTAATGTTGGGAGCCTGAAGCAGAGAATCTACGGCCGCCTCCCTGGTTTTGATAGTTTCCGCGATAGCCGGAATTGCCCCCACGAGGACCTGTGGGAATGTGGTTCGCAGACGGATGAAATTGGCTTTGGCCTTGATAAAACTGGCTTTGTGGACCAGTGGGTGGCTGTCTATACGGAGGAGAACGACTAGATATTGCGCCCGGGTCAGCATTATTGGAAGAGTTTCTCCGTTAAGGCAGGGAGAAGAAGAAAAAAGAAGAAGAAACACCTACCCAGGGTGCGGAGGCTGCTGCCCAATCCAACTGCCCCGTCCACCAGAATACGGAGAGGTAGATTGTGGGGAACCGTGGTAGGAATTAGACGAGGTCACGTATTGCGGTGACGTGGAATATTGTCTCGTATCGAGATGCGGACGGGGATTTGAGCTCTTGGTGTCCCGTGCATCAGATGCCCGCATCCCATGCATCGAAACAGACTCACGTGGGGCATCCCCATCTACCAAAGCACTAGTAGTATCAAGATCAAAGCTTGAAATCGGCCGAGGTGGGGACGGGGATCTGAGAGGGTTATCTGCAGACTGGATTGGTCTAGTCGAATGCATAGTTACAGATTCCCGCCGGGAGGCAATAGATAACCTTGAACCCACGGACCCTGCTGAATGGCGAGATACAGATCGGTGGCGCGGCTCGCGTCCAATATCGTCTTCAGGATGGGGGCTGTGCAACCGACGACGAGGGTGGTTGTAAGATTTCGCACCACGAATGGGAGATTTTGAGTGTCTTGGGCGGGAAGAATTCCGTCGACCACCTTCGTCCTTCCGGCGGTCTCTACCTCGTCGCGGTGACCTTCTGCCTGATCTACCGCGAGCTGGGAAACGTCCTCGGCCCCGTTTATGTGGAAAACCTCGCTCAGAGTCGTCACCCGGCTTACTATACGGGTGGCGAGGAGGTTCTTGAGTAGAATGACGGGGATACAGCCCAGGTGAAGGACTTCGTGTTCTTTTGCGTTTTGATGGAGGGGGTGCAGAGGGAGATTGATCTCTGCGGTAGTCCCGCTCGGTCGGCCTGTCAATCTCTAGAGTATGGTGCGAATCTAGGTCGGGATGCTCAGTCGGTTTGGGCGATGAGTGCCGACCGAAGTTCTGGCTCGGTTGGTAGTCTGACGGGGGGGGACCAGGGGAGACACGAGCCGACGCAGTACCAGGGGAAAATTCACGGTGCGAACGGTGTTCTTCGTTATCCGCTTGCGCGAAAGAACGCGGTGGCGGCGACCGTCCTGGATGATCGGGTCTGCCCCCTTTGGGTCGGCGACGACGTTGTCGTTCACGGTATCTCTCCCTCCCCCTGTCGCGGTGCGATCCTCGAGATCTGTGCCTTTCCCGATCTCGTTGGTCTGTAGTGTTGCTGGACGCTCTCCACTGGTCACTCAGCACCGGACTCCTACGGGACCCAGCCATGTAAACTTCTTCAACTGCATCTGGTTTAAATAAATGAAGGTAGGGAGGCAGTCGGAATCAGATGGTCTGGCCCACTGAAAGATAGAACGATTCGCATATAGATAATAAGCGCAGGAGATTCCGGTGGAGCCTATCGTTCGTCTAGTCTGCCGGGCGTGTGTCGGCCGCGTTCACTGAATGCTTTCCTATCGGGGGATTGGGTGGTGCGGAAGCCTGGTTTTTCCGGGGTGGAAAGAGAAGAGCCCTGTAGTCTGAGAAGGAACAGAACGTCAAACCTCAAGAACTTTCGAAAATTAAAAACGTTTAGTAGATAAGAGGGGTTGGCTGCTTTTCCTTTTTTCTTCTTTTCTCTAACGGGGAAGACGCACCTCGCTGTTTGGGTGTGGGCTTGGTTTCTTTTCACTTCTCCTTTTCTTCTCTTTCCTCTTTTTTATTGAGTGCATACGAATAAATCAAGGTTGTGGTGACGGCAATCTACTTTCTTGACGGGCATATTTTAAGTGGTGGTCCTGGCGGGAGGGAAATCAGGTGGGCGACTGACGGGCGGCTCGTCAATCCAGCCCCAAAGGTCATTCCCATGCTGGCTCCTCATTCTCCGGTTCTTTCGCCTGCAATGCGGGTTTACTACGATAGTGGCCAACGGTCGCGCAACTGATAACAGGAAAGAGCTGAAGTCATCAGAAATGCTCGGATGCCTTCAGCCCGAGGCAAAGTAAAAAGCACAGAATAGCCACTGACACAGTCCGGGCTTCCCTCAGAGGGTTGTGGTCTTGGTTTCACGACTAATGTCGATGTGTCGATCAAAGGAAGCTATTCTTTGCCCTCAGGATCTCACTCGAATGATCCTGTTCTTCCCTTTTCCCAATTCTTCTTCTTCCTCCTTTCGAGAAGTCTGTATATGTTAGTCTTCATTGACGTATGAGTCCTTGGCTTGATTCCTCTCTGGTCATCTCTCCCACCCCCCGATTCTCCGAGCTTCTCGCCTTCGTAAGGTTGTCTCCAACCGTGGATAGAAGTGAATATCTTTTCACTTCGTAAAACACAGACCTATCTACGCGGTGCAATGAGTCAACAATGAAACAAGGACAGATAGGCAGGTAAATCTGCCACCGCAAGATTGCGCCATCGTTGGCTTCAGAATTCACCAGGTGGCATCCTGATATTGTTAGTATGCAGTGGTGGGAGAGATTGCTGGATGCCATGCAAGACATCTAACAGTCCCTCACCGCGTCACGCATTTAGGTCAGACAGGTGAAAAACAAAGAGATACAACAGATCCCCAACAACAATGCGTAGCACGTAGACGCTGAAAGGGCACTGTAGCACTTTCTCTCAGTGCTTCGGTCAACAAAGATATAATTCTGTCTCGCCCAAAAGAAAAATAACGACGATGTCATCTGTGTGTTTACTTGAAAATAATCACAAATATGAGGCACTTTCAGTCATGCTCCACTTCAATGGACAGCAGCAAGGCTTGTTGTAAGACGACAACACTTGTAAGATCTACCAATATGGCAAGGTACGCCTCGTCGAACTGAGGAGCAGCCAAGCATTATTTGTGGGCCATTCACATCCATCCACGATCTAGAGCGTTTTAGAATCAAGAACCCGTGGGGATGCATACCTGATAGAACCTCGTAAGGCACTTCGCAGAGCTTGCGAAAAGACCGGAAAGGTCCCGACGCTTGTTTCCCTGAATAACAGGTTCCCCAGAGCGCCGGTTAGTACTTGCATCAAAAGAGACGAGAAGGGAAACAAGCAAAGGTATATTGTAGAAGAAACTATCTTTATAAAGTCTCTTGCCCTTGAATATGTCTAGCTTTCTTGCCTAATCGAGACGGTGCGAAGTGCTGGCTCATGACGTGTTAATGGGCGGTGGGGATGCGGAATTAGTGAGTAGGTCGGGACCAACCCAACGAACTGGGAATCGCGGTATCGAGCAACCCTGGTAGGGTCCAGACATCCCTAGGCAAGCCATACGATCCTATCCGGTCGATTGCGAAGCCAGATAGAATACCACAGCTAAGTGTGGGGGCCCAGAGCATGCAAGTGCATGGCATACGATGTTTAGGCGAATTTGGTGGGAGGTCGAGGTTACTGTAGGCTTGGACTTGGAGTACTGAGTGTGATCCACGTGATCCCGCGGGCCGGAGGAATCCACGTATATTATGCCTCAGGCATCAAAGTGTTGCGGATGATCTAGTATGGATGTACCATCACTCATACAGCTCTGTTGTATTTGCAAAGCTTAACTTGGCTCAAAATATTATCCCTCATTTTTCTAACTAATAAAGCTCGCAACCTTGTAAACACAATCTTATTGAAAAAAGAAGTACTGTTTATTGTGACTGTAAGTGCTATAGATCTCTTTGAGCTTCAGGTAACTTGAGTTAGGGCTGATCATAGATAGACTGTTCTATTAAAATCTATTTTATCCAT